AACACACACACACACACACACACACACACACACACACACACACACACACACACACACACACACACACACGCACACACACACGCACACACGCACGCACGCACGCGCACACACACACACCGTTTACTGCTTACTGTAGGACGCGCTGGTGGGATGAGGAGTGCGTTTATCACCGTAGCCATAGAAATAGTATACTAGCTCGGCTCTCTATACATTTCTATGCCCATGATAGACCGCCAGAATCATACGAGCCTGGGAATTTAATAGAATAGTAGGCACAATACTGTCGCGAAAAAGACATTGTGTGTGCGTAATGACTAACCAACTAAAAGGGTACGGGTTTGTCACCAACGGAGCTATCGCCATACTTTCCTAAGTAATGAAGAAAACACCTAGGCCTACGTTAACGGAACGTTACGTTAGTTTAGGCCTCCGTTACGTTAATGGAGGTTGTTGCTGCGATCTCGAAAAACCCATCTGTAGAGCATATCAGAGAAATTCTTGATACTTACGAAGGAAATAACGAAGATTGGTTGTGGTTTGTGAGCGGTTTAATTGTATTACATGAGAGAAACACTCACGTAAATTGTTTTAAACATTACAGCTTCGATTGGGTGTCATGGTGTAGACAATTGCGTTCAGAATTATACCCAACCCCGTATACTCAAAAAAAGCTATATAAAATATTTGCAACCATACAAAACATCTCATCTATACACTGCCAAGGAAATCATGAGGCTTTTCAAATCTGCATGGCATTTACACTTACGAAACATCTTTTTTTCGTTAAGAAAAATATAAAGAAATGTAAAAAAAGGGTTGAAAATGGAATAAAAGCAGGCGCTTACGCGTTAAAGTTGGGGTATTCTCGTTGACACTTGCAACCTGGGGGTGTTGCGTCAAACTACTGGTTAGAGGAGCTAAACAGTAATCTCACTGGAATTAATTGACTTACTGTGCTTGCGCAGGAAAGGACGAGAATGGTCTAACGCACCACTGTTTTAGTCGCTTAAATTTACTACGTCATGAATTTTATAAGGTAAAATGTGTAAAATGTTTGTTGCCATTTTTTTACATTAAAAGTAAGAACTATAACGGGACTAAACGTATCGTCAAATTCTTACCTGATAAGATACTGTTTCTCAACTAGTTAAAAATCCCAAAAACCTGGACGATTTGATATTAGTGTTCCTAACATTAATTGCTTGCTATGGGCTATGTATGAGTCACGAGTGTATGTTCACATCGAACAATATAGTAAAATAAGAAGTATAATGCAGCAATTTAACCATAAAAAGTGAACAGAATTACTTATATTTTATCAGTGAATTTTTTTTTTTTTTACAATTTACGGTGACGTAATCACTTTAATTCCTCTTTGCAAGCAAAATAAAACCTTAGCCCCAATCGTTAAGGTAAAAACGATACGGTATATAACTAAAAAGTACAGGTATGCTGTTTATTTTTAAGGAAGCCATTAAAACCAGTTCCCCGCTAAAAAATACTATCTGAACTTTTTTATGTTAGGCCGCACTTTTCACCTACCGGCATGGCTCTCTTTTCGATATATGAACATGGACGGTTACTACCCTCTTCAAATATCGCGTGGAATGAACTTTCGCAGACGTTGACTTGACTACGCCTCTGACATTATATATATATACATATATATATACACACACACAGCAGTTTCTGTTTCATGAACTAAAAATAAGGACCAAAAGTTCATGGCATATATTGTTTTACCGTGAATATCGCCGACACTACATCTGCCTGAGCTCACAGTTTCATTCGAACTTTCAGGAATTCTATACTCGTATAACGGGAGCAACGGCATGATTTCGCACTCAAGCCGTGCAGATGTGACTGCAGCACTAAAGCGTACGTGAAACATATATCATAGTCAAACATATCAAAAATATTTCCCCGTGAGCCAAACACATCACATGAAGCAATGAGTTTTAACTCGCCAGGTTATTTTTGTGTGGGAATGTCGCGGGTAACATGAATCTTCTACCCTTTAATAAAGTAAGCTGCAAATTCTACTAGCCAAGACATTAATAAATGCAGCAATTGCATTAGAAACACAAGCAGTTCAAGGCATATTTCAACACACATATATTTATTATATTATAATGAAAAATTCAAAACATGAAACGTGTGCGAATTAACAGTAAACGCAGTCAATAAATAAGTAATATATTAGTATTGTTTCGTGCAATTACATAACAAAAGCGGGACACCTTTATAGAAACAATGAAGTATACTCTTGCGTTAATAAAGCGCACTACAATTTGTATCAGTTATATAAAATAATAACATAACGTCACAAATACATCGCTATCTTCCTAGTGATGACCTGATGTATAATTGACTAAAGAAGGTGATAGCAAATCTCAATAATCAATAATTTACACACCATTGCACTTGGGGTACCCATTTAGATATTTTCACTAAAATTTCATTAAAGGAAAAACGTCTCCTGCTCCTACACATACTATTTACAGTGTGCATTTCAAAAATACTGCGAGAGCACTAAACAGCATAGTTATACGATCACCGGGTATGAGTGTCATAATAATAATAATATAATTACCGTAAGCCTCTAAATGAATACGAGGCATCGGACAATCACAGACTTTCTGCACACTAAATAGCTAGGGTTACACGACGAAGTTAGCATAATACACGACAAATATTAGTCCGGAAATGGTTTAGTTACCAGGGTACAAGCTGGAAATTTCAATCACAAATGTAAACGCAAAAGCGATTTCAAAAGGAAAACTCGCCTACGAGCGGCAAATGAATCCATTATGAAACTCGTATCTACCAGGGTGGAAGCAAGGAAGGAGATAGATGGGTCTCAAGAGGATATGGTCTCAAGGAACTAGATAGTGCGTCCCCACGGCTATCATAAGGCCTGTATATTACACGCAACCTATGAACGGAAATATTAATCTCAGTGGGTTATCAAAGTCAGGTTTTTGAAAACCTGTTTTAGAACCATCGCCTAGACGTGGTTGTAAATTACCCACATCTAAAACAGTGACGGCAACTAACCCGCGGTTTAAAACCCCGGATCTTTGTACCGAATTTTCTTCGCGTAGACGTTGTTTGACTCATCGTTGATCACACTGACCTACGTTAAAGGATTGCATCATGGAATGTTTGTAGCATTGCATACATAACATTTCTGAACTCTACACAAGAAAATGTTTACACAAGGTCAACTATAGAATGGCACGTGCAGTAGCGTGCTTGGTGTCATTGACCACTCAACGCTATCTAGAAGCATTAAAGCATGTAACTTCTTACATAATTAGACTTTTTACATGCCGAGAGAGATTCTACAAATCTTTATTACAGAGCGCCAAACTGCATAAGCTTTTACTGCATGCAGAAATGACTTCTGCCTAAAAAAGGTGGTCACAACGTTGACAGTAATAACCATAGAAATAATATAGATACACAATGTATCTATATTATTTCTATGGTAATAACCATGTTGTACTACCTATTAGGCCTAGTTGGTCGGGGTCCTGGTTATTTTTATGCAGGAAAAAATGCTTTAAATATGCACTACAAAATACTATATATTACATCATTACCATAAAAGACTTCATATAACATTTAATTACACACATGTAGATAGAAAGAATGCATAGGAATAAATAATTTCAAAAAACGCTTCTAATGTCTATACAAATGTATGCATGGAATATATATATGCTTTAGAGAAGGAAATGCAGCGATAAAACATTTGGGATCACAAAATACCTATATGCTGCTAGCTAGCTAAATCAATGTTTCCAGTGATTTTTTATGACTGTTCCATAATCTTGGTCTGTCAAAATAAGGTGGTTAAGCTTAATCAACTTTGGCATAATTAATCATAGATCATTGCAAAATATTTAGGAACATGGTTAGGAACATTCTTAATTACAAAAGAGTGGTAAGACATGATATGTAAAGTTAATTGACATCGCAAAGCTTCCATTAGCTGTAAACCAGATCTGAAACCATCGAAAGCTTTGAAGACAATTAACTAGTATAGTAGTAAGGCCATCATTATAAAAATTATACTATTAGACTCATGATAAACTGATACCAACAACAACAACAACACCAACACCAACAACAACAACAACAACAGTGGATCACTATCTTTCATGTAAACTGTTAATTCTAGTTTTATGTGGAAACTAGCAGAAACTACATAAAAACACACAATTACAAATCGATTACAAATTTGGCAGCACTGTTTCATGCAAAACCACTTAAGTGTGTGTGAATGTGTATAACAGACAGGTGTCACCTGCTTTCATCAAGTAGCGCCCAATCATGCCTAAACAATGAATCAACAACGATGGTAATTGGAAGACAGTGCACCTCTTGCTGGACGATCTGTGCACATTATCAAAATTATATCACTACTAGCATATAGTATATGTACTAAAGTAGCGATGTAGTTTTTTTTATATTGCTAGTCGCATACAAGTAAAACACATGGATTCAGATGTCTACCTTTACTTCGCTATGGTGTAGCGACTGGAGGAAAGAATCGCCGAGGTCTCCCCCTTCTAAATGATATGGATCATCAGTATCACATGATTCACTAATGTTCCAGTCTTTGTAGTGATTGCCGAGTGAACTCGGGTCTGCACTGTAATCTCCGTCTGCCACGGACACCAGTAATTTATCTTTCATACCACTTCGACGCTGCCTCTCAGTGTTTCCCGCCTGTAAGTGGCTCATCGGCTGCTGTCTGCAGGTGCACAATAATCGGTATCTGCAGAAGAAATGTGCTATGTTGTAGGACTGACAACAAAATAACTAATAAATAACTAAGCCTAAAACCAATTAAGATGTTCAAGCATGCATGTACTACATGTATATTAGTATCAGAACAGCAACTGTCGTTGCACCGTAGATGACATATTACTAACATGCACACATGCACATGTGTATTTAATAAATTCACACCACCCTCTATAACTTCCAGACCTGCTTAACATTGATGCGAAGTGTTATTTCCTTGTAAATACGGAGTATTATATGGCAAATTATATATCAATCTGAGATAATAATTCAAACAATTGCTCTCGGGGAAATATCTGTACAAAATTATCCACAGCACATTTAATTTAACAAAACATTACATTAACATTATTAATTAACATTACCATTAAGATTAACATTAACATCAACAAAAGATTAACATTTAATAATAAATTAATTAAACCTCAAATAATCACAAAACTGGGCCGGCTTCTGGGATATAACTTTGATTGACATCAGGCCGATTCCTTTAACACAAAAAAACAAAGATCAACAGACCTAAAGAATTAAAAAGAGGAAATTCTATAAACCAGACATAACAGCAGACAAGCTCATAAAAGATCAAGTCTAAATCACCAAGACACACATTCTATTGACTACCCACATAAAACAATACATTTAAGACTATAGGTTTTCAATGCAAACACATTTGAGCTTTTCAAGTATATGAATACAGACGAATGAAGGAAATTATTGAATGTACTGCAAAACCAAAATCACGAGATTAAAGAAAAAATACATGTATAAACAACACACAAGTTATAGCCTTTTCAATTATATTCATCATAAATGTACTCAATTATACCAAAACGTGCTATCAATCATGTGTGAATATATTGTGGATATATATGTCACCATATTAGTAATTATATCCCTTGTTAGAAGGTATGTAGGACCTAAAAATAATTGATACAGTGGTACATACTTGATCAGAAGAAACATGCCAACCACAGTTAGAAAGGACGTAGCACTTGTCACTAACCACATCAAAGAAAAGACGTCCTTGCTCTGTAATGCATAACAAAGATTATCATCATTGCTTGTTTTACTACTGATAGATTATCTTGAAAACTATAGGATCAGTCTTATCTTACTCTAACTGTGATACAATGGGCAACATAAGCCGATCTGCTATTAGATTAACAGATAATATACCACAACCTCATCTAAATAAATCTATAGATTCCTGACTGTACTATGCAATGTGGACAGAGTTGCGGATGCATGACTTTAAAATATACCGTCTATAACAATCTAGAACTAAAGAGCCAACCAAGAGATAGTAGAGGTGTCATATTACCTAATTCGAACAAAGCTTACACTAAGAGGCACTCTGTGTTTCACAAACAAAAGAATACTCACAAAAGCTTTTCCTAGAAATGATAACACTTATAGTAGTTAATAGCTTGTCAACATAACCAGTGAAGTGTGCACCAACAAGTAGCCACATGAGACATACCATTAGTATAGGTAAGCACTAATCGCCTATGGTAGTATATTGGCAGCACTCTTGTGAAAACTGTTCGACTATTTAGTATGTACCCACTATTGTGGCATTTTAAAATAGTTACTGCAATTATATTGAAATGCTGATATTAGCTCACCATGAGGAGCAGTGGCTCTGATAGGCGCTGCAAGTGCTGACACCTGTTGGTCGTCACCGATTCCACTCCGATGCACCAGTAAAAGGAGAAAAGCCACGCATTGTTCACCACGTACATGTTCAGGCTAATATTGTAGTGGTTAAAATACCTGAAGACAAATAAAATGTACATTACAGTAGGGGTATTTTGACACATCGTCAGGAAAATTTTACAGTAATAATATTTGCTACATGCTCCTTTCTAAAATTTGCTGAAATCTATTATGAGTGGTAAATGAATGCTTCCTCGTATTTGACTTTTCAAAAAGGAATAAAAATATAGAATATAAGCTATAAAATATTTACAAATATAGCATAACACTGCTACATAAAACCTCTGACCACGGCAGAAATTGTTGTGAGAACTGGCACAAAGAAAACAAACAATTTGGTCAACTGCATGTACACAAATTTCGTTTTGGCTAATCTGCGAGTCAGAATTACACGATCCTTTCTTTGAACATTATTGTGTTTTATGTCTGTGAACCATTGAGACTTGTAGAGATCATGAGAATCTTTTCTTGAGAATCATGTAAATAATTTGTTTACAACTTTAGTTAAATACCTACGAGTAAAACTCGAATTTTTCAAAGTATATTTTTCATAAGATATTTTCTTACTTACTGAACTTCATCTTGGTCGAATTGCGGGTGTAGTAGATTAAGCACATCGATTTTCATCTTCAACAGATTCTCTGTCGAGTTGACAATTTCAGATACATATATAAAGTCTGGTGCCCTCTGTTGAACATTTTCTCGCTGGCGTAAGGGAAGCCACCACACCTAAATGAAGTTGGCAGTTTGGTGTTAACGAAATATACTAATTAATTTGGCTAATTTCGATTAGTTATCACAGTGGTATTATACGAATTAAAAACTATTAAAATCTTCAATGTTTGATCGCATATCAAAAAAAGAATGAGTTTCCTATCCCTGACCAAACATGCATAGTGCCAAAATAAATCCCGATATTGATTGTTTAAAAGTATTAATCATACCAACGGTGATGAATCTCATTTTCTACAGGTGGGTAGAATTATTCAAAATTGTGTTTTAGTGTGCATTTCACAACCACCACATGACATGAGATCAAAATCTTGCAATGTACGATTAATCATGTAAGTGACAGGTATTGTCATTGTTTACATGATTGCTTAATGATTGCAGGACCAAATCCAGGAGAAATATCTGACTGCATTCGTAATTTACTAAAGAAACCGTCTAATACACCGTCATGCAAATTAACACAGTACTAATAGCACGTCTCCACCTCATATGTACTGTGAGAGTGTCTTCGTCGAACATTATGCTAGCACATGTATTCACTCACACGGGAATGGTCTGCAGGTGACGATAATATGAGATCCAGGACCACGTCTACGAAATTGTCATGATTCGGGTGTCCTTTAGGTGGCCGACTGAGATCGAATACCAAACTCACGTTGGCAGAGCTAGCAAAATCTACAAACTCCTCAAGAGTTGGAATCTTCTGCTGCCAGATTTCATCACGATCTTCTGCAGATAAAGAGGCCACCGTCCCAAAAGGGTCATCCTGAAAAGAAAGGATGGGAATTCAATTTGACACTGACCATACACTGCACAGATAAAATTATAGCAGAATTAATAGAATTATACCAGAATCAGAGTAAACAGGGTGTGTGTATATTTTTACTATTTTTTATTTCCAAACTGATATCATTGGATGTTCTCTTATTGCAAAAACGATTGTCACGAGCGATTGTAAATTTTCAAATATAAGGTTGAACAACTATTATAGTCTATGCAATAAGTATATTCTTTATACTAGTCTATTATACCTGGAGAAACCACGAGCCGGCATCTAGTAGACGTAAATCGGACATGTTGAAGAAAGACACGTCGGAGTTCTGAGAATCAGGGCCTAGCTCAGCAATGTTGGTCGTCCTCTTCAGCGTATTGTCGTGCATTAGAAACGGAATGCCGTCGTAACTGCGGCAGTAAGTTTGACATCCAATAAACCAATCGAATCCAAACAATAACCCAATAACCAATCCAATAATCAATCCAATAACAAGTCCAATAATCAAAACCCGACTCATTCGAATTTAACGCATTCAAGCTAACCTTCCATTTTCCAACAAAATCTATACAACTGCACACATATGTTGTCATATTTGGGATTAGATTAAATGAAAACTCCCTAGACATTGATGTAGAACAACAACCCGGATGCACATACCTGATGTGTACGTCTGTTTCCACACCAAAGACATTGTATTTCATGGCTTGTCTATACGAGAACATGGTGTTCTCTGGAGCTATCTGAGGAATATAACACAGAGTTGCATGAGATGAACTTAGTGTTGCCTCTGTCATAGGATGGCCGAGACGAGAAGCGCTTCGCCAGGTTTCTAATTTAGGCGTAAAACGCTGCTTGCCAGATGCACATAGAGCCACGTCTTCATCAGAGAAACATCAGATAATTTATTAATTTATACAATAAATTTATTATGATTATAAATACTTAGTTTCAATTCCAAACGCCGCATCGTTTAAACGAATTGAATTCAGTTCCTAATATTTATACAGATTTTTTTTACACCACAAAGAAACTTCAATGAACGTGTAAGTTATATTATACTAAAATATGGTCAAATCTTTTACAGTGTATCTTTTACAGTATTTCATATCTTTACAGTGACCCATTTACTATGCAAAATCCATCACAATGAAGCAAATTGCACCATCCCACTGCAATTGCTAAAAGAATCCCTCAAAACATGCCATCTGGACTCCCCTTCATGAAGTATGCCTCCTTAAACACCAAATTTATACGCAAAAAGTTGCAACCTAATTGCTTTTGTACTTCAAATAAATGCATAGTTAAGCAGAACAACATCTTGACACCTGTTTGTATATCTGAGAGGGAAATAATTGTCACAGCAGGACACATAGAATGACAACACACCTCTGGGGCACCCCTATGACCAAACAGCAGGGGTTTCATTGGCAGCTCTGCTCGTGACGTGATGCATGGAGATCGAATCATCAACGGACACAAATACACGAACATCATCAGTCCGATGTAGGCGACCAGTAGCACTATCCTATGACCTGCACACAGACACATACGTTGTATAATTCTGTTTTATATAAAATAATGTACTGATTCTGTGTAAAATTTCATAATCTGCCCTGATATATTTCATAACTGGCAGTAATTATTTCTGGATAACTGCTAACCTTCAATCAAGTCCAATAGATAATTCCTCTCTGCGTATAGGTGTATGTAAACAGCACCATTAACATAGTCATTACCATCTCCTTAAACACCACCACCACTACCACCTTTATCATTGCCACCCTCGCCACCACCACACGTACCAACACCATCACCTCCATCACCATTAATCACCATCACCTCAGTTAAAGTGATTACGTCACGAATTTCTAGCACCATCAAGTAGTACATTTGTGTGTTATTTGTACAAAATAAAATGTATGAAAATACAATTAGTGTTTCTGTTTACTTTTCATGCTTTATTACCTTCTTTATATGCCCTAATTTGCCGGTGAAAAACAGAGAGACGCCAGTATCTGAACAGTACTGGGGGAATAGTGTTAGACAACAGAAATTACCAAATTGTCTAGATTTTTGCAAATTTAACCAACATAAAAACATTTATATCAGGTGAGAGTTTGAGGATATATTTAGTAACGTTAGGATCACCTGGAGTAACCAGCAGTGCGTTAATCTCAGTGCTGCTTTGAGGGCTATATTTTCTGCTCTACTGATTACTGCTGCTATAGTGTGCTATGACTACAGTCTACTACTACTCGAATACTGCTGCTGCTACTGCTGCTGCTACTGCTGCTGCTGATGCTGCTGCTACTGTTGCTGCTAATGCCGCTGCTACTATGCGTTCTGGTACCCTTACCGAGTTACTCCTGCTGTTACTGCATTACCACGGCCCACCTCTGCAACTGTTACTGTACTGCTGCTGCTAACACACAATATGTCGAAGAAGCAAAAAGCCTAAGCAGTGTTATGTGTGCCGAAATACCTCTATATATATATATATATATATATATATATATATATATATATATATATATATATATATATATATTACTCTTGCAGTCCAGTGGCTAACAAAAGTTTAACTGTGCCGCACAATTGAAAACTAGTGCCGCAGCTGTATGCATGTACCATTGAAAGGATTACATATTTTCACACCAGCACTGTTCCACTCAGTCACATACGAAATGTGTGCAACTGCAATGCAATGACGTTTCCTATAATTGGTAACAGATATTTCTGGTTAAATGACCCAGGCATACTACTGTTATTTATAGACCTTGCTGCCTGAGCTGCTAGTTTGATAGACACACTGATGGATGTTCATGATTTTCTAATACTCACATCTAATCTCAGCAGCCAATAACATTTCATCAATTAAATAGACAAAGGCAATGAGATGCAATATTATATGAAACACCGATATCATGCAATGGCTGTTATTGCTCACCTGCGCCGGAAATACTAAACCAGCCAGATATGATTGGCCACGAAAACAACGTCAGTAACGCGGTCCAAGCAAACCACAGAAATGGAGCAAACACCTGAAACGCACAGGAACGTGTATAACATTTGTAACAAAAACAATTAATTAATTAATTGTTTACAATCAATGTTATTTACAATTGTTATTTAACAACATTATTTACAATCAATAACTGTTAACAATCAATTAAATCACAAATATTTACTTTACGGCTTTGTACATGTACTAACAAACACGGACAGTATAGTGACTGAGGGTACGGTGTGTGATTGACAATGTGCAGATGATTCATACCTCAAGGGAGATGAGGACAACGGCCCATTCTGTACGCCAAATCTCTGTTACGATGACAGTCTCAGCAAGACAGATGGCAAAAATTATGAGCAGCACACACTTATGCAGTCCATGTAGAAACAGCCCATTCCCAAGCACAAAACGTAGCAATGAAAGCACCTGAATCAAATACGAATTTAGGATGAGAACTATGAGATAGACAAAATGTGAAAACAAATGTATCTGAAAGCAAATCCAACTTCATACAATATTTTGTTTATAGTGCTAATTTTATTAATTTATCATTGTATTAACTGTAATTTTTGTTAATTATTTTTACATTTAATGTAATCAAGCAAAAAATTGTGTGTCCATTATAGGAGGTATACAACATAAGGACTTATAGTTTACAAAAGCCATATGTAGCAAAGGTGATGAAAGCAGAGTTAGAAGATATAAGTCACTTACTAACATGAAAGACGTGTAACAAAGAGCAACTGAGGCAAGGCCAACCATCAGCCAATACCAACGAAACCAGAAGCCAAGGTTATTATATATGAACCTAAAAAAGCAGAAAGATGTTAATTCCCTATATTCAAATCTAAAACTGGCACAATTAAACAACTGACCACAGCTGCTAGGAGATATACATGAGTCTGATTTATAAATTATGTCAGGGTATCTTTTTTGACAATTAACCTTGCTACAAGACAAAAATATATATATCATATTTTCAGCTGGGCAACCAGACTTGAACTCATCATAAGCAATAAAAATAATAACATGTGTACGTGATCGTCTTATTTTACTTCATGAGGTGGATAGACAAATACTTTATGGCGATACTAGTTGGACCTCAGTAATTCAGCACTCGCTCACCAGTACGAATTGAAACCGGTGGTCATTAGTTTGTGTATCCACCGATCAGTGGTGTCACCGCTTTCCGCGATATAAACAAACATTGTTCCAAGTGCTAATATATAACACATTATTATCTAATGTATCATTAGCTCTTGATTGCTTATACGTGCTATCGTCACTCCCAGTTATAATTTTCACCCTTCAACATGGCACATAAGAGATGAGAGGTGGTGAAGTATTGTTATTTCTGTTGTTCTTTATCTGACAATGAATGGTTTGGAATCTTCAGTGGTCTGGCAACCCCCCCCCCCCCATCTCAAGGGTGCTGGATTACCGCAAACCAGCATGTATATGAAACCTGTAAGCCCATCATATAAACTTTGTAAAAAAAAACATCCACGCTTTAATTTTAATTTAGCAGTAAATTTGAGCTCACCAGTCAAAATCATTGAAGTCATTGTTGCTAACAAGCCAAAAGTACAGCCATATCATAGTATACACATATGTGACCACCAACATTCCAAACCATAGTATATCTTTCTGAAAAAGGTGCAAATATCAATATTATTTATTGTCCTTTTTCAACAAGACATTTACATTAATAATTTTAAGCAATTGCTCATATCTATAAAGACTGTAATATGTTATATTATAATACCATATAGCACTGCCCTTCAGCATTAAACAGTCAAGTGTACCATGCAAACTCATATATTACGTATCTGCTCTGTAGCAGTTTAAACTTGTTATCACACATGATGCACCTTTCTTGTTCGGTCTCTCAACTGCTGATAGCGGCGCCACCTGCATCCTACCAAACCTGTTACCAATGACGAAATGTAGTTTCGTTGGCAACTCTGTAACTGCTGGCTGGCCATCATGTGATCCAGGAATTTAGTAGCCAAACACTAAGTCATTGGCTCTCCTATAAATGCAAAAATTTCAGTATAAAATTGAGATAAATTTAATATATAATATATTGCCCGATGATGACGGTTCTAAATGAGCTTTTATCTCTCAAGTCATGCAAACTTGACATTCATGCATACAACATGCAATCTCACCGAACCGAACGCACGGGGTCATACCTATGTGTCCCAGGTACCTATGTGTCCCGGTACCTATGTGCAGGCATGAAAATGACCGGTTAAGAAAAACACTGAAAACCCCCGAGGCGGGGGGGGGAACCCTGAGGCGGGAGGGGAACCCCTAAGGCGGGGGGGGGTACCCCCTCCCACGGTAGAAAGATTTTTTAATTTTGGGGGTCAGAATCATGCAATCTGGTGCATTCTGTAATGAGATTTTTAACCTTATATTTAAAGAGAATCTGGATTAAGATCCTTCCATATAGCAGAACACATACCGAAACATGTGCGGCTGGCAGCAAGCTAGACTGGTACCCGGTCGACAGTTCCACACGCTACACTAACGTCAGTGTAGCGAAGGATATATGCCGGAGTGAAGGTGGCGAACGGGTATCAGTCTAGCAGCCAGCCACCTTTATTGTTTTTGTCGAAGGGTAGACTGCTATCCGGCCTCACGCTCTGCTAGACAATGTACACGCTCTGCGACAAACAGTTCGGCCGCGAACCAGTCTAGCCAGAGGTGACCTTTCAGTGTACCCTGGGTTGCACGCTTGTTCTTGCGTGTGGACGTACATGTAGAGTACATACTCCGGCACTCCGGCATATATCCTTCGCTACAATGACATTAGTGTAGGGTGTGGAACTGTCGACCGGGTACCAGTCTAGCTTGCTGCCAGCCGCAGTAGACGATCGATAAACCGTGCGCCTGCATGTACATATGCCGTGGTAGATTACGAATGCTGCACGTAAACTCGGAAAACGCGGAAACAATTCTGGGATCGGGGAAAAAGCGGAAATCCGGAAAATTTTCATGCCTGTATGTGTCCCAGTACCCAGGTACCTATGTGTCCCGGTACCTATGTGTCCCGGTACCTATGTGTCCCAGTACCCAGGTACCTATGTGTCCCGGTACCTATGTGTCCCAGTACCCAGGTACCTAATAGTATGTGTCCCGGTACCTGTTTCCCAGTACACGAAACAAAGGATTTCAGGATTAGGCCTAGGCTGTTACGTCAACAAACAAAAAATTAAAATGTTTTTTTAGTTTTTTTAGTTTTTTAGTTTAGGTACCGGGAAACATAGGTATCAGGACACATAGGTACCTGGGTACTGGGACGCATAGGTACCGGGACACATAGGTACTGGGAAACATAGGTACGGGGACACATAGGTACCTGGGTACTGGGACACATAGGTACCTGGTTACTGGGGACACATAGGTACTGGGACACATACTAGATACCTGGGTACTGGGACATATAAGGCGTTTTTATCTAAGCGAATACGCTTTACGGTTTCGCAAATCTTCCACTTATCTAGACGGTTTCGTGAAAGCGCTTTGGTCGTTTCTCGTTTTTATCTAGATGGTTTGCGAAAATGCTTTGCGAAACAGTCGAAATTGCCCAGCGAGCGATTTCAGACGATTTCAACATTCAATATGGCGGATAGTCAAACGTAAGTTATTAAGTAGTTTTCTTAATAAATGATTATATAAGAATAATAAGTTAATGTGTTATAAAAACGTACGAAGATCAGCTAAATCCTAACCAAATGGTCTGCCATCTTGCGTTGTTTTTATGTACCGGGTAACAAAAGCGCTTTCACCAAACCGCTGATCACGTGATTTAGGAAACCAATTTACCGATTTCGCTTACATAAAAACGCCTATAGGTACCGGGACACATGGGTACCGGGGCACATAGGTATGGACCCGAACGCACGCCGTCGCCACTGTGCACAAACAGAAATATAGTCTCTATATTTGTTGTTCGTGGAGTGGCGTGCGTGCGTGCGTCAATCATTAAGAATAAGCGTCTAAGACTCAATTTGGTAGTAAACACATTTCCTGTTTTTTTACCATCAACTTCAAGGCATCATTATTAATATTATTGAAATGGTCCAAGTGAAGTGGGCCCGTGGCACTGACACTGTGACTGTGGCAACAGAAATGGCGGCCGTGCTTGCATGGCGTTGAAGGATTGCGATTTAACAGTGAATTAGTGAAATAATATAGTGTGTGTATAGTACCCAGTGGCTAATATCGATTGATTACGAATTCAGGACACCGCGTAAGTCCTAATTAGCATCTGTCCGTATAGTTTTACATTTTATGGCGACCATCGAGTACGTGATTCGGTACACCTGACAATGATCCGCTATTACTGCAAGCACATGAGATCGTCATCGACTCGGCAGAAGCGATGTATGGCATCTAATTAAAAACCACAAGTATATTCAAATAAAGCAGATAACAAAGTTTCAAAATATATATATATATACTGTAAACGAGCCTAAATGAAAGCACAAGCTAACATTTTGCAGGAAGTGATCCGCTATCCCTTGAAGCATTGTAGTGCTGCTGAGTGCTGTCGGTTGGACCTTACACGACACTACTCCAGTGACCATTCGCTATTAGTCAACCTATCCTTGTCATAAATACTTCAGGTATAACTCATGATACGCATGCAAAGGTTTCATCCCATTGACATTGATATTTAAAAAATCATAAATTATATAATGGTCTGTCGCAAATCAAAACATGTTCGTAGAAAGATAGTGAGCTATTTTCCTCTGAGAGCCTACCGCCACCTCTCGGTCAATATTGGAGTTACTGCGTAATATACTTTGAGTTAATCTGTGGTTATCGTGTATGTTTTTCTTTTCAATATATTATACTAGCGGGATACCCGGCGTTGCCCGGGGAAATCAGTGGCGTTACTCAGCTGGTGAGCGCTTGGTTGAAAGGAAAATACCGCAAAAATATAACTATCTATCTATCCATGCATCCATCCATGCATCCATGCATCCATCCATCCCATTCCATGCCATGCCATCCCATCTCATCGCACCACATCCCATCACATATCCCATCCCATCACATCCCATCTCATCCCACTCAGTGCCATCCCATGCCATCCCATGCCATCCCATCCCATCCAATCCCATCCCATCGCATCCCATCCCATATCTCATTCCATCTCATCCCATCCCATGCCATCCCATGCCATACCATGCCATCCCATCCCATGCCATCCCATGCCATCCCATGCCATCCCATGCC